ACAATATACGTTCCTGCAGTCCAGGGTGCCATGAAATAGGCATACTTGTCATATAATAAGAATTATTAAAAATAGACCATGGAGAAAAAATTATTACATCAAACCAATACATTGCACCTGAATATGTAATTACAGTTTCCGTATTAACAGTATTTGTATGCCTAATTAAGGACCAAACAACAAAATAATATAAAGAAAATTTGCATGTAAATTACTGATGAATTAAAAAAATAAAGTTAACATACTGGTACTACAGCACCATATACTGGAATAAAATTTATCAAAACATTTGAGAAACATTTTATCCACAGTATTAGTGACAGACTCTGATTATAACCCTCATCTCTCCTTGGATCACAGCCCAATACATGTTTCATTACCATGAGGTCAATGTTCGAGGCCAGGTGTAATCTCATTCTAGGCACAATGGCATTCTAGCAATGTAAGCCATGGTCTGATATTTCTTAGCCTTCGTACATCCACTTATGTTCACACTACAAGCAACTTCTGTGTATCTTCAGCCCTTCAGCCAAAGGATGGATATGAAAATAATCCAAATTCCTGTCTTTTTTTTTGCCTCTAATTATTACAAAACACAATTTAAAACTAAACTAATACATAACTTATAGCTCTTTCCTGTCACTAACATAAGCCACAACTCATAAACCCAACGCACAGCCCGTCAATAATGCAACAACTGTTTATTTGCCATGTAACACTTATGTTTCAGCCACAGATGGCCATCTTCAGGTGTTTTAATGCGTAGAACTGTTGCACTGTTCAGAAGTGTGCTAAAATCATGCGTTGCAGTTCCCTTAAAATAACATAATTACTTAAAATCCATTAAAGTTTTCTATTATAATTATTCATAAAATCCTATTCCACCTTACAAGGGGTGTCCTCCACTTGTTTAGAGTTATGTGTTTATTTCAGAATGTTTGTTTTAGCAGCTTGTTTTCCTGTTCATTAGCCCCTTGTTTTGCTGTGTCTACAATATGCCTCTTCCTTGTGTGCTGTTCCCTCTAGCAGCGTGTGGTGCTGTGGACTGCAATGCGTGATTTAGCGCACTTCAGAACAGTGTAACAGTTGGACACATTAAAACACCTGAAGATGGCCACCTATGGCCGAAACATGTTGTGTTAAGTGTTAAATGGTGAATAAACAATTGCTGCATTATCGATGGACTGTAAATACACAGACGTCTGTTTAAAGATTTGCAACAGGATGCTGAAATACAGACTCACAACTTATAAAATTCATTATGGGTGCCAGTGAAAATTTCAGGGTAATATACATCATTTTATGACAATAAGAATTGATCTTTAAGACTTTTTATGCATAAATTTTCACTACATCCTCAAAACTATGGCTAGATGAACAAATGGACAAACACAAAAGAAGAAAGGAATGTAAGAATATATGGGTTCTACTTCAAAGCCATGAGTAAACAGTATTTTTCAGTTTACATTCTAACACAGTGTAAATAAAGGTACTGGGAGTTAATATTTTCTATTAGTAGAATACAAATAAACCTTTTCATAGAGTTGAATGACCTCCTGAATAGCAAAAAGAGTGATATCAGATTATGCCTTGTACATTTACATTAATCAAGATATGTCCTTTCAGTACTGGGAGAACAGAAATTAACAACTGCCACTGACTAATGATTACAAAAGAAAACTCATGAACCTCAACAAGGAACTGTTCCCTACCAATAATGTGGTTCCTCATCATTTTAGGTCATGCTATGTATTGAGGAATATGACCTTGAATAAGTTAGTTGGATGACAAATCATGTCAGTAAATCGGCCACTGGACACTTTCCTCTTGACTAATAACCAATTCAGTTTCAAAACAAACTACAAACACAACATCAAAAAATAAATTAATCAAACAAATTACACATTCAGTACCTAACACATAACAATGATTTCTGTCCAGGTAAAACAACAATCTAGAAGCCTCCCACTGGAAGGTTTACTAAGTATGACTACTACTTCTTCAAGCCACTAAGTTATTTATGTGTCTGTTTTAGCATGAACACCACTTATCAGGATCATTTTCTGAGATGTTCATATTTTGACAATAATTACATTACTCTAAAAAAATGAACAGTAATTGTGACATTACTGTTACTTCTTACTTATAGCTACAACTTATGACATTACTGAAGTGTTAGAGGGGAGTATAAAAAATTCTATTCCAAAGCTCAATTTATTTATACAACTAGAGGTGTGCATGTTTCAGCCATAAGTAGATGTTTCCCAACATACTACAGCTGTCCATAATTTTGAAACTGTAGTTTCAAAAGCTACTCTGAAGAACATTATGTTTCAACAATCACTCTATTCATACAGTGCTGTTGCTATATCCCATTCCAAAATGTTTATTAGATAATAAATACACGAGTTTGTCAAAACATACATCTAAATGATGGTGGTGATAACAGTGATGATATAGTTAACTGTCTTCATAAAGACCATGCATAGATGAAGAGAAGGAGATTAAGATCTTAAAACAGAATTCACAACTTAATATACATCTTTGGGAAATTATACATAAAATCAGATACTGTATGTCAAAGGGTATTAATATGTAATTCTTCTTTAAGTGAAGAGTGATGCCAATCAAAACTCCTATATCTGATTTTCTGAAATGCTGTTGCAAAAGGCAGTTGACTGAATCAGTTACATAATTTGTCTTTTTAAAAATACTGACCAACTACAACAAAATTCAAATAAAAAAGTTAACCATTTTCAATATATAAGGCGTCTGGATGAAAGGTATCTAAAATAAAATAACTATATCTCATAAAACATTTATTATACACATTTGTGTGTTACACCATTGAAAAAGGAAACTTTATAGAGTTTTTCGGAGTATATAACTTTCTCAATAAATATCAAGGTGGGCTCCCTTTATGGTATGAGATATCCTTGATATTTGACTTAGTTCCATATTTCTTGAAGCATGTTCAGTGTTGCCGTAGCCACAGCGTCCCTTATGCAGGCTTTCTGGTGTTGAAGGTCTTTGATCTTAAATGGGAAGCAATGTTCTTCACTTAACCCCACAAGAAAAAATCCACTGGTGTTAAATTTGGCGACCTAGGAAGCCAAGCGATTGGTTCACCTCTGCCAATCCATCTACTAGCCATCTCTCTGTCCAGGTGATTCCTAACATGGTGGCAGAAATATGACAGTGCTTGCATATAAGCTGGGCACGAAAAAAACTTTCAAAGTTTTCCTTCCCGATGACATAAACCATATATGTGTATGACAATTAGTTTCTGAGATATACATTTTCTATTTTGGATACCTTTCATCTGGACACCCAGTATGAATATCGATGTTTTAAAGCAATCAGATTCAGCATTTAAGGCTTTCAGACACACCTATCAACTGGCAATAATACATGCAGCTGTATCTAGATACCCAATCACAGAAACATTTTACTTCTCTTCAGAAGAAAAGTTGTGTGTAATAAATATAAATTATAAATGATAATCTTCTCATATATAGGTAATGTATAAATACATTTAATATAAACATAATACTTTGTTTAAACAATTTTGCCTTTAAACTCTGTATCTCTCAAATGATATATTGATAAGCTTGTAAGATATCACAGGATGCTGTTTCTTCCTCCAACAATGACTGGTATTGTCAAAGAAACTTTGATTTAAATTTCTTTCGTTTTTTTTCTAGTTGTACAGATTGGTTTGATTCACTTGAAGAAGCTCGATTTCTGCTGACAGATGTCACAAGGCTTCTTGAAGAAACCTTGCCATGCTTTTTGACTGAATCTTTACTTTTCCTTTTCTGTTGTGTCCTAATAGGTGAAAGATGTGGGACCCAGCCTTTACCCTGTTTTTCAGATTTTGTACTATACTTGACTTTACTGCCACTGCCCGTACCCTGAGAGTCAGATATGGAAGCTCTAGTGACAGGTGTTACTGGTTTAGCATTATTGCTTTGTGGCAATGGCTTCTTCCTCATAGGCTTTCCCCTTACCTTTGCAGAATTTTTATGTGATGAACACAAGAATACATTCTGCGGATGTTGGTTTGAATCCCAGAAAATATCATCATTCTGGTTCAAAGCAGGAGATTCAGAATTATTACTCAAGCTTACTGACTTCAAATTCTCATCATATTTTTTAGGTAACTTTTTTCCTTTACCTATCTTAACTAAGCATATGTCTTTCAATTTTACATTTTTTACTAAAACTTCATTTTTATATGGAACCTCTGAAAGAAGTGAATTTGCTGAAGTATCTTCAATTTTAAAAGCAGAAATTTTTAAACGCTTTGGACCCTGTTTAACTATAGTTTCATCTGACATAATCTTTTGTTCATCCTTAGTATATCTAGTTCTATCTACTGACAAACAAGACTTTGTACGTATGAGTCTAACACCACTTAGGCTAGATCCTTTCTCTCCTGTACATTCTGACATTCTCTTGGCTGAATGGGCTTCTGAACAGATGCACTCCTCCTGGCTTACTCCTTGAGATGGCCTTATTATGCCTGACCTTCGGAACTTAGCAATGCGAATATCTGTGGGTGAGGAGGTTTGATTTCCTTTCTTTGATAGTGTCATACTTTCTAGAGCTGTGATTCTCTGCATCCTTCCTGAAGTGAAGCTACCTTTGGTCATCTTGGAACTACCTGCCAAGGCATCTATGGTTGCACGCTTGCTCCGAACAGCTAAAACTTGCTTTAAAACACCACTGCTTGAACTTTGAACACTTTTCAATTTCGAAGATGTTCCTGAACATCTCTGTGAGGAGCAAGGTCCAATGTTCTCTTTAGGTTCAGGGAAAACTTTGGTAAATTTTACACAGGAAGATGACTGTGTGCATGAACCAACCTGGAAACTGGACAAGTTCTCTTTCCGTTCAGAATCTTCATTAGCATTTCCAATACTACCTTTCACAGATTTCAGACCTGTATGTAATAAAATACCAACATGTGAACTGCTGGAAACCTTGACAGGACCAACCTTAGATTCAGAAGACTTGGTAACAAGAGGAGCAAGACGTCGGGTCCGTGCAAAGTTTGTATCACGTCTGTTGGATGTCAGCCGACTCTTACTGCTTGAAGGGTGCATGAGGTGTGGAGGCACCCCATTAGACATTCCAGCCATACCACCAACCTGACAAAGATTAACCCAATGGGTTGTGTCTCCAGTCAGTATGAAAAATTGGGGATTAATTTCAACAGAAATACATTTATGTGAATTGTGGAGGCAGGAAAAAATGATGGATGAACAACAAAGAAAATGCCTATACTATAAAAAACGGAATTTAAAGTGAACATCAATGTACATTTTCAGTTAACTGTTGTTAATATATATTATTTATAATGCAATGGATTTTTCAGAACAATTCTAAAAACGTTTATTTACATAAGCACTAATTATACTATACAACATACACTTTTCCTTATACAGCATATGCTAAGAAACTATCATCTTTCCATTTGGGTGGGGTGAGGGGGAGGTCAAAAGTACGTATTACAGTAGTCTTATAAAACAACAGGAAATAATGAAACTCTTCATTATTTTTCACTATGGATATATGAACAGCAGAACCAAATAAAAACACATAATGGATGTCTCTCTAACAAAAATTACAGTTGCTGCTGCTTATTGGATCAATTTATATAGGAAAAACTCAAAATTAACAGACATCTGATTTCCTAAATACCATGTACTAGGAAGAAATAATACTGTCCTGCATACAACTGGTGCAGTCACATAGAAGAATTACTACCACATGATCAGACACTCAATTGCAGAGGGACGTTTAGAGGAGTAACTTAATAAACTGAAATGTACAGAACTGTAAGTATTCTGAACAGGAAATACAATATGAAGGTATAGCTATAATTTTGAATAGGGAAACTGATTTAAAATAATAAAATATGGGAAATGAAAGCAAACGAATGATAAAACTATTGTCATACCAAACAATTTTCTTTGGTCTTGAACAATATTTATCTTTAACAAGAAAACAGACACTAAAGAATTTCTCAAAATACTTTGTTAAAAGAAAACTGGCCATTCCCTTATGTCTTATGTACATTTTACCAGAAATGACTAAAGAGCTGATTTCACATATACAGCATACAGCCTACCAACATAATATTACTCAAATACCTGACAACAAATTTTGCAACCCATTTATAAAAACTGCAAGAACAGTTATCTATGCACAGAACTCCAATTTAAATGATCACTTTTTCAGATCCTACTTTTATATTCACATTGATTTATAATCTTACATATATAATAATGCCAGGCAAACAAATAACTACTATAATGAAGATACAAGGCCAAATTTTTGTTCTGTTACAAATATTACTATATAGGACAACTTTGTCAGAGAATTGCTTTCCTTAATTTTATTAATAAAAATTGGATGTTGCAAAACACCTAAGCTTTTATAGACATAAAATGCTTCTGCTACTTTTATGTCCTCTATTTTGAATAAAGTGTGGTATAAAAAAAAATATTAATGAAAGCCAGACCCAACTGTGTAACTCTTTCTTTCATATTCACAAATGCTAAAATCAAAGATGTGTATTGTGACATGTCTAACCATTGCTGGGCAACAGGAGGTGGAACGAGTTACCATGAAGACAGACCCTTGATAAACGGTTGGTTGCCAAGTTATGCAACAGTGGAAACGAGGTTACGGAACAGTAAGGAAAGCGGTGTTTGTCCGTGCCGAACCGAGCCGAGCCAAAGCATGCTGGTTGCAACGCCTTTGTAAACATGGTGTCACGCAACAGGAGAGCCCGTGCAGTGACTGTTGCTAGGCAATTGGTAAGCACGACATAACGCAACAGTGAAAGCTATCACATAACTGTTTTCTGTGTTGTCAGTGCTACATAACAGGAGAATTACCAGAGTAACCAATCAGTTTCAATCTAGCAGTCGCCGAGTTGGGTTGTATCGAGTGAATGGAAATGACTACAGGAGATGTAATTGTGATACTGCCAATGGCAGTAACTGTAATTATGAATTGTGTGGGTGTAAGAGCGAATGTGCAATAAATTTGCTAGATCCAGAATGGCGCGACGTATATTACAGCAGTAGCATGCTAGAAACAGTTGCGGGCTTCAGTCTGAATGCTGCACAAATATCATAGTTTCAAAAGTTGAAAGGTCCAAATTAATGTGATTTTAAATTCCAGTTTTTAAACAAATGAAAGATAAAAAAAAGTAATAACTACTGTTTTACAAATGAAGATGAAGGTTTGGGGGCAAATCTTTAATTTCCTATACAGTGTGTGGAATGAAAAATAAAATAAAAGCAACGAACAAAGATTCAAAACGAGAAAGGATATTTCACATTCTTAAAATGTATATTTACACGTATCTACTCAGTGAATGCATGTTATCTGTGATGACAGAAAAATGGCACTTGTAAGAAACACTTCAAGTAATTAATGAAAAGTACAAAATGAGAAAAGATATTTTGTATCTTCAAACCAAATGTATTAATTCTGAAAGGTTCTGACAATGGCGTATGACACTCAGGACTACTGAGTTTTTGGACTTTTTCTCTTAGTTTCAGGTCTTTACATATCTTTCCACAATTTTTATTGTAAATTCTCCTGTCACCTCCAGTGACAAACCTTATCTCAGGTGCATATACAGATGTAGCTACAATGACAGGTTTTACAGTGATTGAGGTTCTTTCTAATGGACCCACTCTTTCAACTGACAGAAACACATCCAGTTTCTGAACCGTTGTGCTCTCTAAAATACTGGACAATGGACAAAGTCCAAGAACTCGGTAATCCTGAAATATATTAATATTTATAAACAGTGAATGCTTGTGGCTGTGAAGAACACAAATAACATCATCAAGAAACTCTAAATGAATTACAAAACTAAGGCTGGAATGTGAAGAACTGGGTCTCTCTACTCACCAAAAATTGGGGAAGTTCTTGTGCTATTAAAGTACATCCCCACATTGAGACTTAATGCTCTTTTTAGACATCAATGTTTGTGCTCTTATATTGCTACACCTTACTTCTCCTGTAATCTTATTAAACCAATGTTTCTACAGACAATTAAAAGTTGTCTGCATAAGCTCAGAAAAGAAGGAAACATTATGTAAATTAATGTAAGGTTTTACAAATTTTACACACATATTCAGCATTCTGTTTGCAGATTTCTACACAATGCTCTACAGCCTTTTATTTAAAAGTTTCTTTAACACTGAGGAACATAGTCATGATATCAGTATTGGGAATATGTTAACCTACTTTACTACAATGTGGTCACATTCATAATCCTAAAAATCCCACAAAATTTTGTCATGACACAGGAATAATGATCATTGAAACTGTAGTATATTGGGATTTAAAGAGTCTCAATATCTTCGCAGTTAGAAAGTTGCAAAGCAATAGAAGAACACTCTGTACATATCTTTTAGAATGAATAAATATGATGATGGCCTCATAACTGGAAATCAGAATTACCATTTGAATGGAAGTACGAGGGGTGTTAAAGTTCTAAGGTCTCCGATTTCTTTTCTCAGGACTGGGAGCAGAGAGACACATGCGGTTTAGTTTAAAATACATGTGCACTCTTTGTGAATGCGTGACAGAGATGGCAGCACTCTACGGCACACAGAACTCTAGCGGTAGCGGCGAGATTGACGAGTGTTTTCGTTACAAGAACAGCAAGTAATCATTCGTTTTCTCCACTTGCGTGGTGCGACACCCATTCAAATTCATCGCCAGTTGAGTGAGACGTGTGGTGATGGTGTCATGAATGTGAAAAATGTGCGTTCGTGGGTATGACAGTTCAAAGAAGGCCGAACGTCGTGTGACAACGAACCAAAACAATCTCAGCCTCGCACCATGGTGGAGCGAGTTGAGAAAGTTGTTTTGGAGGATCGCCGATTGAGTGTGGAAAACATCACTTCCAAAGTTGGCATTTCCGTGGGATCTGTGCACAAAATCCTGCATGAAGACCTGCGAATGTGGAAAGTGTCCTCCAGGTCGATGCCACGAATTCTGGCAGATGACCACAAGGTTGCACGCATGGCAATTTGCCAGGCGATTTTGACACATAATGAAGGCATGAATGGGACTTTCTTTTCATCAACTGTGACAATGGATGAGACATGGATGCTGTTTTTCAATCCGCTACTGCATCAGCAATTTTCCAGTGGTCAAAACAGACTCCTACAGAAGCGTTCGCAGCGGCCATGGAATCATGGCATCGACTTTGTGAAAAATGTGTACGGCTGCAGGGAGATTACGTTGAAAAGTGACAGAAGTTTCAAATTTTTTGTATGGTTATTGTGTGAGAAAAAAAAAATTGGAGACCTTAGAACTTGAACGCACAACGTATCCTATGCTTAACTAGTGAATGGCATATAAGAAAAATATGTCTCAATAGTGCATGTACCTGTAACATACAGACTAAGAGCATTTACTTAATTCTTTTTCAGAAAAATATGCATAAGTTCTTAAGCAGTATTTTGCCTATGAATAAAAATATAAAAAGCAGAACAAAAGCATTTACTTAATGAGAAACTCCAAAGGCACATGCAAAAGATAAAGATGCCATTAAGTGCTCTCACAGATCATAAATGGCAATCCCCACTTCAGCAAGTCTTTCCATATCTAGCTTCAAAAGCCTTCACCTAGACATGCCACTTTTGTTCCCTGTGTTATCACAGCAATTACTATGGTAAGCTTTTCTTTTATATAAAATTCGGGTACAGATGTATAATATTTGTGGGCTCCTCTCTGTCAGTAGCTGTCAAACATTGAAACCAGGCAATCAAGCAATAAACCAACTAAAAACCAATTAATAATGAAACTGGAAGATCAGCCACCAATTATTACAGTATACTGAGATAACAAAAGTGCTACCTAGCACTGCACTAAGATTAAAATTATTGTACACACTTCCACTGAATCTGCAGTGAAGCCTTTTGCACTTTTGGCCTGATGCAAGTAAGTGTGTTTCTTCCTTCTATTACATAATTAACTAACTACATATACCCAGCCCTTACACATTCATTAATTCAACTAACTCCATGAAAATAAATATTTCTTGAGAAGCTACCAGCTGCTCAGCTACTCAACAAATTTCCAAAATTTTATGGACCTGGAAAGTCCGTTA